TGATATCAACCACAAGGTATTGTTCTCTCCCTTTATTTTTCCCCTTTCACAGCGAAGGTTGCCTTTATCTTATTACCAATTTATACCTAGTTACTTGTACTTATTGCCCCAATACTTTTCCATTTCCTCTAATAAAAACTACTGGTATACCCCTAGAGATGTCCTAAAATCTAACGTTAGGTTTTAAAAATTAAAAATTAAAAATGAGGTAAATCACATTATTTATTTATTTATTTATTTTTTTTTTTTCTAAAAAGATTCCACAGTGACAGACATGTGTGTGAAATTTCACATCATAAGCAAAAAAATGTAATTTTTGCGATGTTTGTACAGGGCATTAGGCTCTAAATGTGAAATTATTCAGCAGCTGCGGCTAACTAACAAACTACAATTATAATCGCGCATCTTAAAAAGTTGTAGGTAGGACTTTTTGGGGTAACTGTTGCCCGAACATTTGAAAATATTTTCTAAATAAATTTTCTAAAGGATTTTTTTTTTTTTTTTTTGTGAAATACACTTAATCAGCCTAATGTATCGCAAATGAACAAAATATGTGGGAGGTCTTGAAAGATTAAAAAAAAAAAAAACGATTTGTTAAATACCACAAACACAGATGAAAATATTTGAGAGGAAAGAAAAAGTAGGATCAAGATCAAAGGTAGACATCATAAGCAAAAAGTTAACAACATTCTAGGTCACAGTGCTTCCAAATCTTCGTTTATTTATTATGATTGCAACCCTTCAAGTCGCCGCATTTTACACAAAAAGTTCTACTTCAGGCTCATTTATTCCTGCCCTCACTTACGAGCCATATGATGATGATGATGATGATGTCATCCATGGTTTCGATTTCACTTTTGCCACCAACTCCACAATCTCAAATTTCAATTCATCTAATTTCCCTTACTATAACTGCGTAGTTTTATAGTGGCAAAAAAAAAAAAAAAAAAAAAAAAAAAAAAAATAGTTAGGTAAAATTGCTTTCGTTCGTTATATTGTTAAGAACAGAAGCTCGATATCAGTCAAAAACTATTGAAAGCTGATTAGGAAATTAGTCAGGCAAGTGGAAAATTTATTAACACAGGTCGTTGCTTTGCATTAAATTCGTGACTACGAATGTAATCTCTCATACAATGTACTCGCGAAATGTTCGCTAAAAGTTATTAGAAAATTCAAAGCTGCTGTGAGACATAATCGTCTACGCGCAGCTCATAGGTGACCGAATTATTGCATTGCAGAACGTGAGAATATTAAAAATTATAATAATCAATCAAGCGTCAATCGAGCTAATAAAATCGAAATATATCATTAATATAATAAAGCGAGAAACGAGAGAAATATCCTAAGCACGTACGCGCATTGCTTAGCTAAGCAAAATTATGATTGCGAACGCGATTTTCAATCTACCATTAACATGAATTTAACGAAATCACTCTTTTTTCATAAATTTTAAAAAGAAATAATAATTTTTTGTAATATACAACAGGCTTATGAATGAAATTATTCGCCAAATATTGGAAAATTATTGATTTTGCATCGTCTACCATTTGGAGCTGAAGTTGTGACGCCTAACAACACTAACTTGCAGAAGTGTGTGCCAAAAAAGAAAAAAAAAACAAAGCAGATAAAATAGAAACAAAGGCTTGAAAAAGAAGCAACAAATCATTATAACAGTAGATCAACGCCTCACATTACAATTTTTCTAACTAAGGCTTTATATGGCAAATGGTGGAAAAAGTTTTTCGATCCAAATCATTTTCAATAAAATTCGCCCTTGGGCCCAAAACATGTCCGTGTAGCGAATTTCATCAAAAGGTATAGATTGAATTCAAAAATACAAGACCGAAAGAAGGACGGACAGACAAACTGATATCGATACAGAAAATGATTCTAAAATTTATTTAAAAATTGCCTCTGAATCGCTTGGCATAATAAAAGCTCAGCCCATTTTATTACCCTCTGGATGTTATATACATACCCGTAAAAACGGAGATGCATCACAAGTCGTGTGTTACAAATTTTATTGATGTCGAAACTACGTTCCGTGCAGGTTTTTAAAAAACTCTTTTCTTTTCTTTTCCTTTCCTTTTTTTTTTGGTATATCGAAATCCAAGCGAAACGAAGGATCATACGATCATCGCTAGGTGTTCACGCTTACAAAATAGTTCGGATCAACTTTCTTAGGGAAAATGGTAAACTCTTCGAATGAAAGCGACACTTTATGTTCTCTCGCTAACAAATAATCTCTCGTTATAAGCGACACGCCTTAACTTATAATGAAACAAACACTTATGCACAATTTCTAAATAAAATAGAACCCTTCATCATCCAAAGGATCGAAAAGCCTATCGTACAACGTGATTTGGACTATAAAGAGTTTAATATATCGTTCATACTTCCATCGGGGATATAACGCAATTAACTTGGAAATGCTATAAAATTGTCTAAAATTATAATTTGAAGTATAAATACAATCTATATCCTCCAGTATACGGTAGATACGATGCACTGCTTAATACGAAGAAACGCTGGAGAGATATTGGAAACTGTAAACCATGCCAAGCATGGCTGCTTGTCTTACTTATTCAATTCAATTGCATTCTGAATTAATTAATTAATCAATTTGGATGCGTTATAGCCACGTCTTGGTTTATCTTTAATTACATTTTAACCAAAGAAAGTAAGCCATTTAACCATATATATATATACATATATATAGAGGTCGATTTATAAAAATCCATAGTAAATAAGCTGAAGTGATTTCTTCGTCGTATATGATTATTGTACACAATGCCTATCGGTGTCATAACACTTAAAAGGTGCGCATCTTACAATCAGATATCAAATAAAAGCTAGAGGCGGGTAATAATGTATTCGGTCCAAGCTATATATAATTTCTTTCTTGTTGTTTTGTTTTTTTTTTTTATTATTATTGTTATTTTATTTTATTTATTTATTTTTTTTTTTAATTTATTTTTTTTTTTTTATAGAAATTCAATTAAAATTATCGCTTTGTCAATTAAATAAATCCACCACCATGAAATTCACGACCATTTGACTACTAGCGGCTACAGACATATGTATTCAATATATATATATTTATATATATGTAATAATATATACATAGATATGCAAACTGATGTTTGTAAGGATGTGAATGTGTATACAATGATATAAAAACAACAGGTGGCCTGATAGGTGAACGAGATAGAATCTATATGCATATGTGCTATATTTGTGTTCATTTTTGCCTTTATGCATATATACATTGTGCCCGTGTGCCGATGTCTGTGCTTGTGTGAAAATGTATATGTACAGGCAGGAAAATTTGTACAACGCTACTGTTGATGGACTTGATTGCAGTGGACATGTGCTTTTGTATGTGTTTAACATGCAATTGCACAATTAAAATAAAATACTCTTTTGCCAATAGAGAGATAAATAAATTTAAAAAAAACTACAAAAAAAAAATGGGAGAAAACAAAACAAATGAAAAAAAAAAAAAAGCGAATGAAAATAAATGTAAAATGTTGAAAATTCCATTGAATTAAATTCCACAAAAATGCATAACACGAATGTATTCAATTTATATGCGCTCTACACTAAAGCTTTTGTTAATAACTATCATCACTGCCGGAGCAAGTAAATAATTCACGATAGAGACAAAGTTCGATTTTAATCATTTTTTTTTTTTTGTTTTTTTTTTGTTTTTTTCTTTTCCCCAAAAAAAAATTTCATTTTAAACCAAAATACGGAAAAAATTTTCTTTTTAGGGTGCAGATATTTTTTTAAGTTTGATGGTTTTAAATTAAAAATAAAAAAAAAAAAAAAAAAAAAAAAAAAAGAAAAGACTCTATGAACGATTACTTATTTTACTTGTTGCCTTCCCTCTCTCTACTCTTAAATCATCATCTACATTAAGATATAGTTTGCTTGGGCAATAATAATAATAATAATAATAATAATAATAGTAATAGTAATAATAAATAGGATTCGCTATTTGTTTGAATTCGTGGCGTGGTTAACGTTGCAACGACACGTTTATAAAAGAGACCGTTCACGTGAACTGCAATTTAAGGTTATGTTATTCAGGGTATACATATAGAGTTATGTAACGCCATATGAATAGGAATTACATTATTTATTAATTATACGATAATTGATACATACAAAGAAGTTAACTAATTGCGCCGATAATTCTGTTGCTAAGCACCAATATTGATTAGTTTATTTTCTAAATTTAATTTCAACAAACGGCCGTGAGGTGGCAACGAAATATTTGAAATTTCAATTTTATATGCAAAACCTTGCAATCCGCAGTCACAGTGATAATTATTTAATTACATTTACAATATTTAAATACGATACGATATTTTCAAAGTTAATCGGCCTGAAAATTTTGCAAAGCTTGAGACAACTATTGCTTTTCTCTCTCTCTCTCTCTCTCTCTATATATATATATATATATATATATATGTAAATATATATATCTGTATATATATCTGTATATATAAATGCGAAATTTGTGTGACATATACATAGTTGAAATGTTTCGCTTAACTGAACAAATAATCGTGATAAACTTTTTGAAAGCAATTAATTGAAAGCTACTGTAACTGATTTCAGTTAAATTGCACGTGAAGTGATCCTATGCTCAATAATAACAATAACAACAATAACAACAATAACAACAATAACAACAAAAATTAAAAAAATAACCTATGGTTTGTAAATTTCAAACTGAAGCGCATTATTGTACATTCAATTTTTAGCCACAATATGAAATATTTTTATATAATATTTTCAAATTCATTATATAGTGAACACGAATTATATAATTGAGTGGCATATAATTAATGCCACTCAATTGAATACATATGTTACCGGTAATTAATAATTACCCTGAGTTATTCTTCTTTCGCTTTTTAAATACATTTAGAAAATGGTTTTCAATAAAATATTAAACTAAATAATTTTCGCTCTTTATTTTATCTTTGCAGAACGAATTCAACAACGACTTACGATACAACCACAAACAAACGAACAAAACTGACGGTTATATTTACTTTTCTTTTCTTTGCTTTTCACCATTACTATATGCAAATATCTTCCTCTTTTCTCCTCTGTTATGCTATTATGTAAAAACCATTTTGTAACTTCGATTAATCGAAAGAAAACGGAAAGAATTTAAAAATTTATACATTTTCGAATACTGCTGATATCAACTGAACTGAATGTAAATATAATTAGCCCCAATCGCATTTCAAATATAAAAATTTTGCTTAGGATTTGAAAAGTTTTGCCTTTACGATCCCTTGCGTTAGGTCGGTCTAACTATAAATATTCTTTTAAATACTCCATCACTTACATCATTTCATCATGTCGTTCAATTATGTAAGGTTGGACGAAGAAGAGAACATGCCCATACGGCGTAAGCGGCAGACCTTGAAAAAACAAAAAAAAAAAAAAAAAACTCCAACTACATGTGACTTGTCTGAAGGCAAGGGTCTCAATATTGATCAATTCATTTTCCTCAAAAATTGCATATCTTTGAGATTTGCCCTCTCGCCTTAATCTTTCGCAAAGAATTCGATCCAACTATATGTCATATATCACGATGACTCAAGTAGTGTAGCTGAATGATTAGTATGCGCAAGCCGTTGAAGCAATATTTAGTTAAATAACTATTTTCTTCGAAGAAGAGGCTTATTAATGCACTGGGTGAGGCCTTCTATGAAATGCTTATGCCAATAAGAATCGCGACTTGACTATGATAGATGCTTGGGCGGTAAAGCGGATAACACTTATCAATTGGACATGCGTTCACTGCCTCTACCTCTATCTAGGGGATATCCCCTGAATGATTGTTTTGGTTAAAACAAAACATTTCGTGCTGAAAACTCTGTTGGGCGGTTTATGCCAAAACGATGGCAATAAATTGAATCGGCCACATGTCCCCGACAAGGCAAAATGAGGCATTACTCATTTACATTTAATGACAAGCTTATCTCCACAAAATCCATAGGATTTGAAAATGTCTCACGACATACGTTCTTGTATTTTTCTCCTTTTTAAATCATGATTCTATCTTGTCTCCTTCTCCTGTACCATTTAGATAGTCTATTAGATATTTTAAGCTTTCGCTAGACGAGTTGATTCTGCTTTTTAAGAAAATTTAATTATTTTCATAAAAAATTCGAACGCAACAAAAAGAAAAACAAGAAAAATTATGGCTACCGTTCAACGTAAACTGGTGCATAAACAATTCAATTCTCCGATTGGCCTATACTCTGAACAAAATATTAAGGACAGTATGAATCGTGAACTGAAGGCTTTCGGTGCTCAAGGGTAAGTAATTTACACAAAAATTTAACATTTTCTATCTATCTATGATTTCTTAATTAAATTACTTTACCTCGTCGTAAAATTTAACTAATATCAGGTCTACGGGTAAATTCTGCCCGTATTTAGAATCCTAATTTCCCAATATGGTTTGAAAGTGTTTGTTGACCTCGATCAAAACTTTCGGCTAACCTTCCATTTTATCAAAAATGTATTTTGGCAGGGCCCAGGGCGTGGCTTATCACCAATTTCGAAATCATCTGGTTTTTGGAAATTTTTCGACCCGTCTCCTGCAAGTTCTAACAGTCTCTGTACATTCACCAAATGCTTTCAATATAAATATCTACGCGCTTCCTTCTTGGAATTCATACAAAATCCAATGGGGTAAATGAACTTTATCGGTAGCCCTAGGTAAACGATCGTGTAACTCAGTTGCTACTAACATCGATTACATTCTTTTCACTTCATTCTGGATCTGGGGATCTATACATAGAGTTATTCGTCAAACGGTTCTTATTGAAAAGTGTTGTAAACGGAACGGACGGAGCTTTCCGGTAGACCGATTATTCGATATCATAGTTTGTATTGTATGACTTATTTATTTTTTCATTTACTCGAAGGACGCTCGATTATTCCAAAAGATAAAAATGGACAACAAAAAATAAAATTCATCGCCTCGTTTAAGAAATCGCATAATATCAATACTAGCCGTTAATCTCAATTTTTTTCATCCATTTTTACAGAATTCTACTTGGCAATGCATTATTTTGAAAATATTTTCAAATGATTTCATATAATCATCATATAATATATATATTATGATTACTCTTAATTTAATTATGCCAGTACTCAAGACTCGTAGCTAACCATAAATATTTTCTATGTATTTTTTTTTTTTTGTCCATCGACGAAGTTTGAAAGGTATATTAATTTTGTCAAAACGCTTGCAACGCCCAGGCGCAAGCTTTATAAATCCGACAAAGTGTGTCAATCGATTTAAGCATGTTCACCTGTGTGTTTGTCCGTCTGTCTGTCCACATTATGTGTGCTGTAAACATTTTCCTGACCGCAAAAGAAAAATTATCGTCTTTCAATTTGGCAGAAATATTGCAAGCGGTTACCGTTGAAAATGGGCCGCACCGTTCGAAGGACACGTGTACAGTGCTAAGTAAACTGATAAGCCCTCTGTTTTTCAAAAGGTCTACGAAATTGGTGTTTTGCTCATTACTCATAAACTACGGCAGATAAATCTACAAAAAATTTGAACGCGGACTCTATGGGCGATCTTGCAGTACCTCTACAGAGTCGAAAAAATTGATCACCTCTGCCCAATATTGTAGCGTATCAAAATTTAATTTTTTTTTTTTTTTCAATACCTTTATAAGACGCAGAAAGAAGCTTCAAAGATCCCATAAAGTATATAAGTTCTGGCAGGTTTGTCTGTTCGACTGTCCATACGTCCACTTTCCCAACGTAATATTTGCAACAAGCGTTCTTCCGTTCGCGTTCTACAAGATTGCTCCTAGAAGAATTTAAAATATCAACCACGCCCATCCAACATTTTGAAATACGCAAATTTCTATACCTTGCCTTTCCTTTCTTCAATCTTGAATAGGATAACCGTGACGAGTGTAAAAGATTCGGTCGCAACCGAATATCATTTTTTTTATTTATCTCTCTTTTTTTTCTTTTTTTCTTTTTTTGATTTAATTCTTTGGATAGATTTTATTTCTTCACACAATCTTTTTTGGTTTTCGGCAAAGTTATAGCAAAACTTTTGTTTCATGAGTTATAAGCTGAAGAAAGAAATCCAATAAATTTACCTGCTGCTCTCTGTCAAATCGTATTTTGAAGTCTCCCTTGAGTGCAATACAAAAAAGACGATCCAATAAAAGCACACATATCTCCGATTTTATTCGAAACATAGTTTAGTTACTTTTTTTATTAAAAAGAAATTATTGTATATACATATAAAATATATATATATATATATATATATATATATATGGGTAAGCGATACACCGCAGTCAATGAGAAAATCAAATTCACAAAAACACTAAAGAATGAAATTGCTTAACGCAACCTATATCTGTGGTTTCAAAATTCTTCTCAAAAGGAAAAATAATTATAATCACTTGTGCTTTATAAAGTTCAAGCTGAAGAACAAAAGGAAGGAAACAAAAAAAAAAAAAAAAAAGAAACAAAAAAAAAGAAGAAAAACAAAAAGCTACATATAAAACTAGATATGTAGAAGAATCCGCAAGAGTAAAACTTTTTCAATAAACACAAGAAATTCAACGAAAGAACATTGGTTTGTTTGTTTGTTTGTTTGTTTTTTATTTTTATATTTCTTTTTTTTCTCTCTCTCTTTCGACTGCTTATCCTTTACAATTTGATCTATGCTTGCTTCACAGCGAAGAGTATGGACAAAAACATTTCACCAATGATAAATAAACATTCATTACAATTTTATATTTATTTATTTATTGGTTTTGTTTTCTTTACTTTTTATCTATCCAAAAGCAGCAAAACGAATGCAAAGAAAGAAATTCACTTTTTTTTTTTTTTTTGGTGGAGAATATCTTCACAATTACAAAACCATTTCCAAATTAAAATTAAAATACAATTAACTTTAACTTAACCCATCTATATCTATACCCAATCTGTAAATGATCCTCTTCGTTACATCTTCGCTAGAGTCTTTTCCAAAAGCCTTGTACTATTAATGTTTTCAAAGCGTCAAATATTAAAAAATAAAACTAAGTATGCTTAACATTTAGTTTTGATTCGTAAGCCAAAAATGCGAATAAGTTTATACACGTCTATCTAAACACACACATACACACACACACAGTCGTGTAAGGAAAATTCACATTCACATAGTATACATAGAAAGCTGAAATAGCAACCTCTGTCTCTTTATCTATCTATCTATCTATCTTACTTTTTTTTCGACGCGGCGGTTGCGCTCTACCAATTAGAGGCACTACACAGTCCTAAAAGCCAATGGACCCTTGTGAATGTTTGATTCTCACTATATCGTTTCACATCCCCCGTCATCGCTTGGGATAAGGGGTTCGCCGGTCGCTTTCGTGCGGCTTTATACCGGGAAAAAAGAGTAAGCTCGAGGAACAATAACTCGAGGAATTCCCATGACCAGGCTAAGTTTGCCTGGAAAGAGAAATTCACTTCTTCATGTTTTCTCCACAACCATTGATTATGATTTAAGATAATGATGTAGATCCAGCATCCTTTGCTGCCACTTTCCCATAGCTGTTGGCATCTCGTTAACGAACTCGGTCCGATAGCTATGTGCTACGTGTGTTACATTCGTCCATTCTTCTTGTTTCCTTCTTACCGTTGTAGATATCAAGTTGGCCCGTAAGCAGCTACTCGATGAGCAACATGCCTATCAGGTTCCAGCTGACGTTCTGATTATGCAGAAGGCTGATATAACTCCTAGCGTATGAAGCCTTTGAACGGCTTTTAATTTTCATGTCTGTTACATACTTTGCAGCTCTTTCTCTGACAAAATGGGTGCGGCGTACATTACATTGCGCGTAGACAACGGTGCACAGAAGTTTACGGCTCGCCTGTTACAGTCCGTTCATGTTTGGCATAGGACGGTAACAGTGGCCAGGGCGTTATCTATTACGAGCCTCCATACCTACGCTACAACTTTAAATCTTTTCTTTAAGGAAAAGGTAGCGTGATTGCGCTACACTGCGATAATTGAAAGCACCTGATCAGGAAGATAGCCTCCGGTAGTATCCGCAATATTTTTTAGCTTTGTTTGTTCCTCTTTCTTTCTTTCTGATTGACTGGCCAGTGCCACTAAACACTGTGACAGATTAAGGAAGAAGGAAAACGAAGCGAATCCTAAGCAAGCATGAAAGACGTGGATTTCTCTCTTTTAGCAACGGATTTCTTTCTCATACACTTTAATTGTTAATAACAGAGGTGTAATTGCATTACGCAAAAAAACGGTAAAAAACTTGACTCTTAAAGAATTCAAAATATTTCAGCAGCATATAAGGCGTATAAGTTATTACGTATACGCAACAATGTACGCATATAAGTTTTACTTTTAATATTGATAGGAGATTCTTGATTAATACCTCGAAACAGTTGTAACGGCATTTTAAAAGCAAAATGACCCGATAACGATATACAAAGGTCTTTTGCAAGAAGCTTTAAATATTGACACTGTGCTAACCTCCTTTAAATTAGAAGCTAAATTATTATTATTACTACGTTATACTTGCAAAGCAATCTATTTGTTGCTTTATCTTTTCAAATCTATACCTTGGAGTAATTATTCCTAAATTCGTTATATTTCTCGATTGATTTTGTAAATAAGATACGATACGATGGCCATTCGCTGTGAATTGATTTGTATATTTTAGCTAACCATGCCCCATTTTTTGTATTAAAAATGCAAATAGCCTAAGTAATTATTTTTAAACATTTCACTTGCATACCATCAGTGAATAGAAATTTATATTATTTAATATTTTGCGATGAAGCTAATGCTTAAGGAAATTTCTATCAAGCTTGCAAATGATTAATTAAGTACATTTATTTAAACAATCAACAAAAGAAGAAAAAAAACAACGAAAAACAAAAAAAAAAAAAAATTAAAAAAAAAGAGAAAATCAATCTAATCGTAACAAAATCTTTTTCTGAAATAATTTCATGTGAATTGTTTTGCAGAAATAATTGTACTTCTCCTTTAATCAACAAACAAATGTGAGATATTCATCGTTTCATTGTGTGTGTTTATGTTTTCTTTTGTTTTTGTTTTTTTTGTTTTTTTTTTCCTTTTTTTTTTAAGTATGTATACATTAAATTAAATCGTTCATCTAGAAAACATTTATCTCTATTCGAGAGCACTTTAAATGATTTCTGAAATATTTTATTCTTGTTTTATTATACTTTCAATTTTATACAACTTTTCATATTTGCATGTATGTACCGTACGTACATAATATGCATTGTAATGTATG